CTTTTACAATTTATAGATGGAAGATAGAATTAGGTAAATAACGTGCTGCCATCTGTTGAGTATAATAAGAATTACGACCCTGCAATGCTGCAGCCTGGTAGTTTTTCATATTCCTAAGTTTAAGTTATCTTGAATTGACAAAACTTTGCAAAGATATAATCTGAATATGATTTCTCTGATTTACATGGGTTTAGGTGCCACTTAAAGTAGTAAATTGTAAATTTATTTACAATTTTTGTACAATTAAGTCACGCATTAGAATTTAGGATGAATCATGCGATTATTTCTGAAGCACTGGTACGAGTATCTTAATTAGGTTTTGTAAATAATGATTAAAAAATTATCTTACCTCCTGGTTTACAGTTTAAGGTTTGATTATGTAATGACATGGACAAGTATGACAACAATAAAATCAAGCCAAACAACCTAAATATTGCATTACTGCTTTAGTAGTTTGGAAAAATTTAATGAAACGTATAGCACAATATCGTCTAGGAAAGTTGAATAGAATAATGATTCCTTAGTGTGTATAAACAATCAGTTTGACTGGTATGCAATGAAGATCTCAAAGAGTGCAATTTAAATAGATATAATGTAGGGAAAATTTCACTTGAGCGAATTATTTTGTGACTAAGACAGTGGAAGAACATTTAAAACTGATTTCAAAAGAACCCGTGAAAGAATGCTTAATAGAAGTCTCTTATTGCTGCTGATTCGAAAAAAAAAAATAATCAAAGTTCTCAAAGCTTAATTTAACATAAAAACAAACACAAACGGAATGTTTGCTACTACATGCAATTCACTCTTACCGAAATTGAAAAAATTCAATAGTTATTCAGTATTGAGAAACAGAAAATTCTGATGTTAATGGAACTTAACACAACTGGAAATTCATCCGTATTTAAACGAGTGGAGGGTATTATAGAGGAGGAAGTATTTTTGAATTGTTGTTAATGTTTTAGTTTGTATGTTGAATTGAATAAAGTGAAATGACACAACTACAGAAGGAGCTATTACAATGGTAAAAAATAGGAAAATTGTGTTTAAAAGAAAATGTTTTAATCTATTAGGCGCATGAGATGTACAACTAGAAGATCTGTGTGCTAATTTATTAAAATTACGTATGTGATGAATGTTCCCTCGCGTGTGAATGAAAGAACAGCGATACATTTCGGCATCTGGATAATATGATTTGGACTCATTCCGAAATGTCTGTATACGTCATAAGCCAATGCCCAATGGAACATAAACGATTAACAAATAATGTATTATAGAATTAACATTTATTTTGTTATTTATTGCGATAAAAATTACTTGAATGACATTTACTATTACATTTTATCTTATTTATTACACATTTGTGTTTTTTCTTACCACAATTGTCTAAATCATATTTGCACCTAGTAAGAGTCAATTAAAGTGGAAACTTCTTCTGACAGTCATTAGATTCTTTCTGAAGAATCCAACAGCATGAACAGCGAAACGTTAAAAAAATTAGCCGACCATAACGGAACTCGGAAGAAGTTTCTACAGTAAACAATGACCATACAAGCATTCACACAGTCAAATAATAAAATAAAGTACTTGTTTATTTTAATTTTTTAAAAGCCTATTAACGTACCTCATCCGTCAGGTTTCTTTTGAGATTCTCAGATACATAATTGAATTTTGAAAGTGCACTGCTGCAGATACCTAGCATGGGAAAAGGAAAACAGTAGCCGTCCAACAAAGTTCATTAGTGTCTATGTAGTAAGCAAATCATCGTCTTCATGGTCCTATTCAGAAACTCTGGAATTTGGAATTAAATTATTAAAGAGGTAATTCCAGTAAGATGTATATTGATTCTATAAAGAAATTCACAAACCTCGCGTATTTTCGTAAATATCTCAGGTGTTCTTAGCATTATGATTCGCGAGTTTGAGGCAAAAAACTTCCGAGCGTCCTCAACAAAAGGAATGAAACTTAACATATGAAGGAACCTCTTTTTCCGATAAATGAGAGTCGTGGTTACGTACGCGAAAACATCTCCAGATCATATCGGTCGAAAATTTTCTTAAGATCGAATCGAATACTGAAAAATTTCTTAACAAGTCAGTTTAAATTTACATGCATACTACTGTAATTATTCATTAATAAACAGCATTATGCGTAAACTCCGCATTTTTATGGAAGTTTAATGTCAAGTCAGCATTTATTTAATATTAACGTCAATGCTTAAAATTCATAAATCGTTCGCTATATAATTTCGCGATCTCTCTTGTGACGAAAAGCGGATTGATAGAGTGAGAAAAACGTAATTGAAGGGTCAACAACGCAAAGAAATACGCCAGTGCAACGCCGCATTCAATCAGCTGGTAATTGCATAGGAGACGAAAAATTAGAAGAAAAGAAATTAGTAGGGATATAAAGTAGAGGATAGCGCAGGGTCCAGTCGCCTTCAATAAAAAGAAGTCACTTCTATGCTCGCGAACTGTTAACTTAGAAATTCGAAAAAGATTGTATGTTTGGAGCACGGCGGAAAACAAAAGGTTAGAAGCGTTCGAAACGTGATGTTATCGGCAAATGATGAGGATACCGTGGATAGAGTTGGTAAGAAATGAAGAGGTATTGGAAAGAGTAAGAGAACAGAGGATTCTATGGAAGTCAAAAAGAAATAAGCGAGATAGGTTAGTAGGTCTATTCAGAGACATATTAGAGACAGAAACGGAAGTTAGGAGGGGTAGAGGTAGACCTAGATACTTGTTCGCAAATAGTTAAGGATATGGGTTGTTCTAGTTTAGAGGAAATGCGAAGATTAGTTCAGGATAAAAAAGAGTGGAGGTGCGTGTCCAAACAGTCTTAGGACTGACGACCTTATGATGATGATGAGATTAGATTAAGTATGATTCAAAATAGTTATGTTATAGTCAATAGTATCTATCTATCTTTTTAACGATTTAATCTTGTATTTAGTCAATCGATGTACAGTTTAATATACGTAATAAATAATTCAGCAATACAGCATCAATAATTGGAGTAGGTCAGTATTTCACTATAGAACAGTTGTTGCTACAATGATATGACATGAAACATGGTACTTGTTTACGGGACTAAACCATATGACGACTGTAGAAGAGATAATTGTTGATTTCATAGAAGACGAATGTTACTTTTCTTAATAGACACTATTGATGTAGCGGAAATCCGCACGACGTGTATCCTTCGCGTCTTCAACAACAATTTTTTTGTGTTCATAATACTTACATCATCATCATCATCATCATAAAGTCATCAGTCCTACGACTGGTTGGACAGGTACCTCCACTCTTTCCTATCCTGAGCTAAACTTCGCATTTCCCTCAAACTAGAACAGCCCACATCCTTAACTATTTGCTAACAGTAATCTAATCTAGGTCTACCTCTAACCTTTCCTAACTCCTGTTTCTGCCTCTAATATGTCTCTGACTAGACCTTCACGCCTAAGAAGGTGTCCTACCAACCTATCTCGCCTATTTTTTATTGACTTCCATAGAGTCCTCTGTTCTCCTATTCTTTCCAATACCTCTTCATTTCTAACCTTTTCTACCCACGATATCCTCATCATCCGCCTATAACACCACATTTCGAACGCTTCTAACCTTTTCTTTTCCGCCGCTCCCACTGTCCATGTTTCNATTTAAACATTGCAACTCCTCTTCACCACTCATCCCCCCCAACAGAGATTGAATTTTTTAATCAATTTCAAGTAAATCGAACCAAAAACAAACATGCAATCTTAACAAATGAAAGGCTAGACTGATGTTTTGACTGATAAATTTTTTGTTTTGCTGTCAATTTCGTTTTGTCATTCCATGTCAGTTGCGTTTACATATACCACATTTTTCTCGTGGAAAGTGATAAAAAGTATCCTATGTCCTTCTCCCGGTTGTAAGATACCTCCCCATCAATTTTCAGCCAAATCGGTTCAGCCGTTCTTGAGTTATAAGTGAAGTAACTAACACGACTTTCTTTTATATATATAGATGTGGTAACCTGTAGCTTGTAACTTTCGTGTTACAAAATTTTACAATTTATTCACCTTAATTTATTAGCGTAATATATTTCTAAAGCTACTACTATTCATTCACTTAAGTTTTGGCAATTCATCTATATTCTGAATTCCTTTTTCCATTTATTTACTCTTGTACTCTTTTTCATTTCTAAGGATCTTCCTGTAAGACCTCTACATATTTTCCTCTTTTTCTAAATGTACCTTTTTGATTCTAATTTGACTTTTCCATTAATTTTAAAAGCTTCCACCACATATTCTCTTTTTATTTTACTTTTTCTAAAACGTACTGTAATTTACTTCTTGACTACTTTTACTACTACTCATTTTCTTCATATTAGATATACTTTTTTACCATTCTATACTTCTTCATTGTTTTGTTCATTTGTTAACATTATAGCCTTTTTTGAAAATATTAAATAGGTGTCTCGATATAAGTGTTTTTCAGTTTAATATTGATAAATTTCAGAACAATATGCATTTATGTAAACCAAAGTAGATAAGATAACACTATTAAAAATATCTTGTAAATGTACACGGTGTATTTACATCTACCTATTTTATACCTACATATGAATTGTATAAACTAAACAATTTTATTCTTCTTCCTTTTGAACTATTTTTCACCTCCTTAACATATCTGTCATCATTTTTAGACTATCCTCTCCTTCCATTAAATTTCTCATTTTTTTTTTGCATCATTATTCGTTGTTCCACATCTCACAAAAATGTGTTCGAGGATTTCTGGTTGCAATTTACACAACTTGTTCGTTAGTACTTCTTCCCAGTACCTTGCTCATTGCCAACTGTCGTAAGAGCTTTAACGGATAGTAGATACTTTACTCTATAGTTTATGTAATTTATTTATGAGAATTTATTATAACTGCATCTTCCTTACTGAATCTTGAGTATGTTGCAACCGATTTGTTCGTTTTTTGGTTTGTGTTGTTAATATTCCATTGTTTTGTTTCAGGGATCATACGGGATTGTTAAACTTGCGTACAACGAGGAAGACGATACGCATTACGTAAGTGTGCTTTTTGCATTTTTTTTTATGAAAATGATAAATCGTTATCGATTTTCGCTTTTGTTGCGAACTTTTCGAAATGCTTCGTAAGCGAAGCAAAAACCCATCCAGCGCCTCCGTTGACGAACTTTCGCTGCAAAAACGGTTTTCACTAGCTCATTTCATCGCGCGGTGATTGTTTTGTCATTCATTTCTACCAACAATAGAAAACCTTTTTTATAACTTCATTGATAATACCCAAGAAACCAATAACTCCTATCAAATATACAACAATTCTCGCAAATGTCATGTTGTCATCATTTAATATGAGTAAAATGTACACAAACGTTCAACCCTCTAGCGGAGAAAAGTTGAAACCGTTACAAGGATTAACTTATTGTTAAATTTAAGATCCAGAATAAGCATTATATATTTATATATAACAAAATCAAACATCTTATCTACAATAAAAATATTAACCGATAGACTTATAAGCCATGAAGTTATATTGAAACAGAAGGTGTATTTTTTAAGGAATTGAATTGAATAAGAATTATAATTAATAGCTGCTGCAAATTTACTGTTAATGTTATTGTGTTTGAACTTATATTTAATACTTTTACATATTATATTATTGACAATCAATCTCCAAATAGCTTTAAATATCTAGATTATGTTTATTTGTCTAATTTACATAGCAGTACACCAATGAAACTACCACTCTATTTTTATTAAAAAAGTCACGCTTAAATCCCATTGGTGAAAAGAAGTGGGAAGCAAATAGAACCAAGCCTGGTGATTATGTTTTACAGAGAAGTGCTCCTCAGTTATGCACCTCTACCTTTTTCTTGGCACGATTTCCTGGGTGTGTTATAAAGGAAAATCAATTTGTGTCCTCATTCGATAATCCGAGCGGTTTTAGAGTAAATCTCGGTTCAATTTCATTTATTGTTGTCGATAGAATTTAATAGCAATAATTTCACCTGGTGTTAGAATCTCATACCAGATTCAACCACGCTTATCCCATAAAGCACATATTGTAGCATCGTATTCTTCCCGATGTGATTTGGCTTTGCGGTTGATGTGGCCGGTTTGCCAGAACTGACATGATTTTCTTTAGAATTCTTTAGAAGTATATCATATATCAATTTCTCCTGCACTCCGACGAGCAGGTTTACGCGTGCTTGTTAGGTGTTTCTGCTGCCTTTCAATTTTGTCTAATCGTATCACCTTTAGAATCTTTCCCGTGACTTGTAAACGGTAGAAAATACATTTTTGAGACACATTTGATTGTTATTCCAATTGTTCTTGCGTCTGACTGCCACTACTTTCCAATACTAGTAGTTCGTCGTTTTCACACTTTTTTTATGGTTTTGCACGTTCTCAGTTTCTCATATCAAAATCACTTTTTTTTTAATCTATTACAGCGCTGTTTAGCTTGTGGACACAAAACCGGATATAATTAGCACAGAACAGAGATGTGTTATTGTATGGAATTTGTAATATTGTGAATTGTAATAGATATTGTCAATA